GCTTCTTCCCCCAGACTCATAAAAATGTTCCAGTGTTTCCCCCTCTTAAAATAAAAAATAGAAAGCAAGTGTCAAAATGCTTCCTCTCTGTCCTGTTTCTCCTTCTAGTGAACATCTTTCTTAATCACTTGGACTGTCTTAAAAAGTAGCTTACAGTTACTTCCTACCCTCCTAATAACTCCTCAAGACCCCATGTGCTCTGGTTCTAGACCCCAGAAGGCCAATGCAACTGCTTCCTTGGACCATCCCCAGGCAGTCCCCCCTTCCTCTGTGCTCCCATAAGACCTACATAGAGCACTTATCACCCTGTACTGTTTTCAGATCTACTTCTTGCCTCCCCCAGAACCCAGACAGCAAGCACCAAGAAACACAGTTTCGTACAGTTGATGGTCAGTGCTATGCTGTTCCTGTTCATGGGAAGAAGCCCCCATCCCCATGACCATCAAAAGGGGATAAAAGGGATTGCAGAAGAAACAGTTAGCTTTGGATTTGAGTCTCAGATCCTCCATTACAGATGAAAAGGCCTGTGACAAATTCCTTAAACTTGCCAAAATCATTTCCCCGTTTGTAAAATCAAATAGATCTGTGGTTTTATTTTTTTTTAAGATTTATTTATTTGAGAGAGAGCAGGCGGGGAGGGGCAGAGGGAAAAGGAGTGCGTCTGCTTGGGACATGTAAAATAAACAAAAGATAATATTAGTAAAAGGCTTAGTAATTATTACATTTATGATACACCTGACTTTAAAATAATTTTTAAAACACACAAACTGCAGAGGCACCTGGCTGGTTCAGTCGGTGAAGCATGTGACTCTGGATCTCAGGGTGTAAGTTCGAGCCCCATATTGGATGTAAAGATTACTTGAAAATTAAAAAAATATATATATACAAACTGCAATTTATTCCCTGCATCCCATCTCCATCATAAGTATATTCTAATTTTATTTATTCCATTCCATTTCCTAAAATTAACCTCTGCATCTAGAAGGTATTGTAGTGTTCCACAACTAAAAGGGGAACCTCCCAACAAATCTACAAATGCCAACATAAATTCCAGCTACATACATGTAACCACCAGAGAAACTTAAGAAGGAGTGGAGCTTTGCCACTCTCACCCAACCAAAAGACAGTGCCAGGACCCTTCCAAATGTTGTGGGAGCCAAGCCAGATCTGGGCCCATCAATTACTTATTGAACATTTACTGATACAAACTAAGAGGAAGACATGCAGTTGAGGGAAGAAATAGCTCCTTTTCATACCTTTCCAAAAAGATAATAAAAAAAATTGTTGCGCTCAATAAATTTACCATCTATAAAGTCAATATGGTAAAATATAATAATGTTACATGATGAGTATTGTGATAGAAGTGTCTAAAATACTAAGAAAATGCAGAAGAGGAACTAATTATCGCCTTTGAAGGGTAGCGAAGGCTTCAAAGAGAAATGATATCTGAACTGGATATTGAATGAAAAACAGGAGTTTGTCAGGGGGAGAGCAGGGAGAAGGGCTTTCTGGACAGAAGAAAGCTTTGTAGAGAAGATTTGATATTTCTATTATGTAATACTATTTTATCTTGTAAAGGAGGGAGTGGTGGTGATAGTGGCACCTAGAATAGCACATGAGACTAGCAGAGGTGGCGTATTTGGTGGGATATGAATACCGTGCCAAGAAACATACTTTGTTCCGAGAATAATGGAGAATATTAAGGAGTGTGTGTGTGTACTGATCCAATTTGTATTGAGAAGACTAATGGCACGTGAAGATGGAAACTGGAGGCCAAAGACCAGTTTCCAGGTACTGTTGCCTATAATCCAGTAAAATCAATTTAATGGGTGACATCTTAAATTTTTTTTATAATGAATTCAAACGGAATAGAAAATATCAGAGACCATTTGGCATCGTAAAGCCAAGTTTTAAAACTATAGTATCAGAGATGTATGTGTTCTGGGTTATAGGGTAAAATTCATTTGTTACTGTGGTTCATGGTCAAAAAAGTTTGAGAACAGATGAAGGGATAAGGGAAAAGTCAAGGAGCTCTCCCTGGTTTCTGGTGTGGATACCTTAAGGGATTGCAATGTGACAGGGAAGGACAGGGACAGGGAAGGATTGCAAAGGACAGGGAAGAGAGAAGGCCTGCCTTTATCAAGTCCACAGTTGGACGCAAGAAAGCCCAGAGAGCAACCTCAACAATTTTTCAGCGGCCACACTCAATACTAATCTTGTTCGGCAGAGACAAAGGACACATCGTCATTGCAGCTGCATGCTCACATGAATACACAACTGATAAAGGCCCTCTAGAAACTGGAAATACACAGAAAAACTTGGGAACCAGAGAAAGCACACAGGATAAGGGAATCATCAACACCTCCTCTAGGGAACTAGAAATATGTGAGAAATCCTGTCTCTATTCTAAGAGCCAACAGGGAGTCATCATCCTCGGGAACCCAAGGAAGCTTTCTGAAAAGTCCACTGCCAGGGTATTCTGTTTATTCGGGTTTACTTTTTTTTCTTAGGGGATGGGAAGGACTCTTTCTACTTTTGTAACTGCTTTCTAAGCCTCCATAGCTCTCCCTCATACTACCACCTACAGGAGGTATTTCAACCTTACACATCTCTGGCAAGTCCACTGAGTCCTCTAATACCGGACACGGCTATCCCTCAGTTATCCTCCTAGAGCTTCAGGCTAAGAGAACAGGGCTGGAAAAACATAGCTTCTCCACAGACTTGGAGTGGATCCACTCCTCCTCCTAATACCCTTCTGCCCTAGAAGAAAAAGGTTCCCCAATTCTTCTTGGAGGGTGACAGCACAATTGGGTCCCAAACTACATTTACGGCAACGCTTCCCATTAAAACTCCTGCACAAACCTGCTCTAGACACTTCAGACACGTGGCTGTCCTCAAATACTCCATGTCCTTGAACATACATTCTGTGTTTTGCCCCTGATATTCCCTCAACCTAAAATGCCCTCCTTTTCTCTGACAGAAATTCTACTCCCCCTTCATGGTATATCTCAATGTCACTCCTACCACAAAGCCACTCTTTATCCAATACTCTCTCCAACCACTACCACCAAATTTGGATTTAGTCACACCTCCCTGTCCTTCCATTGAATCTGCTTGTGCCCTGGGCACAGCACATCTTTCAATGTCATCTGTTTCGAGCAACTGTACTTTCTGCCTGTCACCTGCTGAACTGTTTCTGAAGGTACATGCCCTTCTCTCCAAAGCCCCCAGTCCTTAACGCCCAGTGAGTTCTCAGTAAAAGTTTCCCAATTCAAACTGAAAAGCTACCACTTCATTCCATCAGAGCCTGCAGATCCTAAGAACTAAAAAGGAAGGGTGGAGGGGAGACCAAGTGTGGATTTGAGGCACACAGCCGCCCTCCCCCTACTTAACCAGTAGCAGTACTCCCCACTCCTCTGAGAAATTAGAACCAACCTCAGCAAGGAAGATGCAGCAGGCATGTCTGGAAATGGTGGCTATCTTGAAAGAACTCTTAAGTAGTTTCAAGGTTCTCCTGGCTACTATTAGTCAGGGATTGACCTTGGGATGTGGTTACAGGGATTATATATTTTATTTTGCCATCCACTCCCTCTAACTCTGATACCTCTAGCTATATGGGCAATAAAGAGTCTTTCATACCAGCTCTGAATATTATCTTTGAGCTCCTCTGGGAACAGCCTAGCCTCCTTTCAGCCCTCCCACCTTTCCAGTGAGTAATTCTGCAGTGCCACCTCTGCAGTCCTCTCCTCTTAAAAAAGTGGTTTTCCTCTCAGTATATCCAGCTGCCCTCTCTAAACCTCTCCTTAACCTTCACCGTTCAGACAGAGGGTAGTCTGCCTTCTCAGCTGCCTGACTAAAAGACTATATTTCAAAAAAAAAATAGGCAGAACTGGTAAAGGTTTTGATAATTGTGGCTTCCTCTGTGGTCCCATAGGCACTACTTACTCAGATTTATTATAAAACCTAGCCATTCCAATTTATCGCTCACTATTTTAAATGTCTTATCTCCCTCATTAGACTGTGAGCTTCTTGAGAACCACTGCTAGTTCCCAGCAAACTTCCCAGGACAGAGCCTGCACTCAATGAAGTACCCGCTTAGAAAAAATAACATAAAATAAATTGCTACCTTGTGCCCCTCAGCCAATCTCAGTGACTATGGGAGTTCAGAAGGAGAAATATTTCAGAGGCGATCAAAACCAAAAAGTCTTTATATAGTAGTCAGTCCTGTGATGCAAAGCTCAGCTGAAGGGAGTCTCAAACAAGGGTCCTTTTGACAGGGCAACCATTCCCCACGTTCCTCAGATACTCACTATGGTCAAAGTAGTAAACTTAGTTCTCCAGAATTTACTTTCCCAAGATCTGGCAGTTCAGTAAATGCATTCCCCAGCCCCCACTTCAACGTCTCTCCTATATCCTTCTGACCTTTAATACTGTGTAACATTAGATGAAAAATTGATTTTTTTTGGCTACTTAATTTGCAGCTGAAGAAAAAATATACTGTTTAAGGTGTTAAATATTTTTACATGCAACAAACCTGGCATGAATTTAACCTGTATGCACATTTTAGAGGTACAGGCGTAAATGTCAGTGCTATAATTTGTTATAGGTTTCTGATGACCAGCAATGAAAATGACCACGGATTCTCACAATTCAAACCACTTTTACGTAAATGTGAACTTTCCTAAAACAGCCAAGGGAGAGAACTTTCCATCCATGCTCACAGAGTCTCTTAGAGATAGTGATAGCATTGTTCACCAGGTTAGGTGTTCTTTGAGAAAAGCTTACAAATATTAGTTTCTTTCTGGGACTATGCTTTGACCTTTAATAAAAATGTGCTTTAAGACACTAGTTATTAAAATGAAAGGAACAGTTTTTAATGCCTGAATAACTGCCATTTCACATCATCAGCCCTGCTGAAGGCTATACCTTACAAGTTAGCAGTGTTTCAAAAAAAAAAAAAAAAAAAAAATTTGGTGACTTCACTTAAATTGCTCACTTACCAGACGTGAAGTAGAGTTATAAGAAACCATGAATTGAATGTATCAGGCATCTGACACCCTAGAAAATAACAATAAAGTATAAATACGTGAGGGTTTAGAGAAGGAATATTGACTGTATTTTAAATATTGGTAGGAATCTGTTCAACTCAAATATATGGCAGTTACAGTGTTCTCTGATTATGCAACCACAGAGAGGGCCAGTGGAACCAAGGCAAGATGATGGGTCGAAAGAGCATTGAATGCAGTCAGACAACCAGCCTTCTAGTTCCAGCCCTGGTACCACTTTGCTGTGTGGCCTTGGGCAAATCGCTTTTCTTCTCAGATGCTCAGTTTTCTCACTTCGCATAATGTGGCCTAGATGATCTGTATGGTTCCTTCCAACTTATATGCTATTTTCCCTTCCTAGTCTCAAGTTCATCTGGAAAGCTAGGCCGACACTACTTTGTCTACCACACTTAAATATAAGTGTTTTTCACTGTTGCCCTGCTGAGAAGTCTAAGTTCCTCTAGTTTCTTTTTCCTGTCTTTCTTCCTTAAGGCAACCCAGTATGCTCGAACATACTGGGTATGCTGAATGATTCACCCAAAATAAATGACCAGGAGAAAGAAGTGAGGCTCTAGGGAGCTGTAGTTGAAAAGCAAAGCAGATTACATCTAACGAAAGGCCATTCATCACCCCCCAGGAATGACAAAACTTTAAGACACTAAAACTCAGGTCACTGCTTAGATATCCATGCCTCTCAATTCTCAGATCTCTAGGAAATGCCTCTGGCCTAGATGAGGGGTCCCCCACTGAATGCACCTTCCCTATTACATGACAGGGAGAAAAGGTAGAGCAAGAGGATGAAGAAAAGTGAGTATCAGTGCTCAGTTTGGGCCCTTCGAGTAGAATCTGCCCTTTGAGCAATGACTCAAGAAAAAAGGGATATTTTCTGCCTTGTAAACAATACAATGTACTAAATGATAACAAACTAGGGCCACTAGGAGAGAAAACACAGAGCAGAACATCTGTGAAGCACACTAACACTACCAATAATAATAAAGAGCTGCATTCCTTGTGGGCTTCCTTTGTGTGAGACATTGTAATTGATGCCTACATGCATGACTCAATGAATCCTACCAACAGGCCTATGAGGTAGATATTACTAATACCCTCAATGTCAGGTGAGAAAATGGACTCTTAGAGACCATGATAATTGCCCAAGTCACACAGCTACGAAATCAAACATCTAGGATCAAATTCAGATCTGCTGGATTTCAGGCCCTGTGGTCTTAATCACTAACTAATTCTCTAATACTAGTATCAGAAACTAACATTCACTAAAGGGCCCGTATTTCCTGCCAGGTCCACTGCTAGTCATGGCAATACATGATCTTACTTAATTCTCACTTTAACCCTGAAGGGAGGCATTATAATCCTCCTTTTAGAGATGAGGAAATAGGATCAAAAAGGCTAAGTAACTTGAGGGCAGCCACAATATAACAAGCTAGTGATTGGGCTGGAGTTTAAGTCCAGATCTGTCACAAAGTGACACCAAAATACTCTGGTGAGCTTACTGGGAGGTGCCCAGCAGTTGTCAAGTGGACTTCCTCTTGGAACCCAGTAGGAGGGAGGTGAAGGCTGGCCTGGCCAACCATCCAGCTATTAAGACACATGCCATCGGAGAGTGGGCCAACCACCCTCCACCTAAAACAAGAATAGCCATGAGAAACTCTCAAGCCCAGATCTGAAGTTGGGTCTTTTTTGGATGCTAGAACAAAACATTAAAAAGAAAAGTTTTCTTGGAAGTCTGTCTTTCAATCTGGAAAATGAAATTTGGCTGCTTCTAAAGGACAATCTGTTCAACTGCTACCTCTACATCAAAGCTTCTCGGCAGCCTCCAGGAGCCTTTCCAATTCTCTCAGAGACGGAATCAATTCTTGGGCTGGAAAGCACAGACAGACAGACAGGCCAGCAGCTGGACTTGGGTCACAATTTTCCATCCTGGGGGTCGGCTCAGGGCTAACGATGGGAAAAGAGCTGGCATACGGACTCCCTGTACACAGCGGAGCCAGAACAGAAACCCACAGGGTAAAGCCCTGAGAAGTAAGACCACTGAATGACCATAAGCATCACAAAAACATAGTAGATCTTCAGCTCAAAAAACTGTGTTTAAGCACGTCGAAGTTAAAATCTGTTACTGCATTTTATCAAGATCACACTCTTGCACCAATACACGCTTGGCGCATTATTTCCTGAGGCTAGGTACTTTCTTCAATATCAAGCTGGATAAAATTAAATAATTCATCACTGTTATGGAGTGGCAGTATTAACACAGTTGTTTGTTTAATGCAGCCTCCGGGTCAGACCTCCCGATTCAAAACCCTGACCGTACCTCTTACTTACTACGTGACTCTGGGTAAAGTTACTTAGCCTTCTCAGTGCCTATGTCATCTTCTCTGTAAAAATGGGGAGAACAAGAGAACCTACCTTATAGGGATTTGTGAGGATTAAATGAGATAAGGCCTATGAAATGTTTAGCAAAATGGTTAATATTTAACAGGCACTCAATAAATATTTACTATTGTTTCTCGGTGAATTATTTAAACAGTAGGGTTTAAAATATCTTAAATAGCGCACTATTTAAGACTGTGTCAATAAAATGATGAACCTCAATCACTGACTCAGAACTTATTCATTAAGGAAACTCCTCTCCAAGGTATTAAGTCTCTTAAGAGCTAAAGACAAAGCAGTTTTCATACAGAACGGAATTTCAGTATGGAATTCAACACAAACTTTATTGATTGGCCCCATCTGTTCCAAAGTGCTCCTCATAACAGAACTGATCTCCAAAAGACCAGTTAGCAAACCACTACATTCTCACAGAGGTTACACTCCTTGATGCCCCAAATGGGATACACCATCAGAACATCTTGGAAACAACAGGGGGCCATTAATCTCACCAGTCAGAATCCCCAAGGTTGAGGTCACTGGATCAAGACCTTTGAACACGTTGGCTCTGAGATGATAGAGAGTCTATAACTTGGACATTTTATGGGGGCCGATCCAAGAGGCTATAGAGCTACTCACAACTCATTCTTACACAATCTTCAGGAATTAACACTGGCCTCACTTTTTTGGAAGAGTAAGGATGAGAGTGCTGAGCTCCCTAAGCCTCTCTATCCTTTTTAAAAACTACTGAATGCTCAGGACTCTAAAAGTCAAGCCCTAAAATACCAAAAATCCAAGGCAACAGCCACTTTAAAAGTGTAATCTTGGGAAGTGATATATATTTATTCTCTTCTTTTACCCCAAACCTGCCTGGCCTACTCTTTAGAACCTTTCTTTAGAAGATGCAAGCAAGTCTCATTGTTTCATAGATATTTATCTGCCTCCAAATCATATTTTTCAGATTGGCTCCATTTTTTATTCCTAGCCACAGTTCAGAACCACTTTGGTTTCATTTTAAAATTTAATCTACCCAACAACAACAAAGATGGACCACACTGGAGCATTAATAAAAATGAACAAGCTGTAAGTCTAAAAGCCAATACTTTTTTTTTTTTTAAAGATTTTATTTATTTATTTGACAGAGAGAGAGAGAACACAAGTAGGCAGAGGCAGGTGGGGGGGTGAGGGAAGCAGGCTCCCCGCTGAGCAGAGAGCCCGATGCAGGGCTCGATCCCAAGTCCCTGAGATCATGACCTGAGCCAAAGGCAGAGGCTTAACTCACTGAGCCATCCTAAACCGGGTCTTAAAAAACCATAAGCAAGAGTGGTATCACCAAAATGTGCTGCCTCTCCAGGTAACAACTTCAAAGGGCAAAGCTAGAACAAAGTTTATTGAGGTGAACATACTCTAATATACGTAAACATCAATTAATAATACTAATAGAATATCTCCTAGGAATAGTTCTTATTTAAAAACAATAACATATAAATATATTAAAATGAATTATAATTTCTAATTTGGAATTACATTCTTTCATAGGTCATATATTATAGTGGAAAAATTCCTGGCCTTTAAGCCAGACAACATAGGATCAAGCTAAGCAACTTTGGGAAATCACTTTGCCTTTAAGTTACAACTGCTTCTGAAAAGAAAATAAAAATGAAAACAAGAATACAAGTCCTTCCTATCCTACAAGGTTTTGTAACCCCTAAATGAGCCAAATGTAAAAGCACACCATGTAAATGTGATTAGCATGTAATGGTAATAATTTGTATAAACTTTTATTTTTATTAGTAGTTAACAACAAATTATAAATTGAAACATGATATGTTACCTTAAACATACAATAATAATCTCAGTATTCAATTTATAATATTACCTCAAGGATCTTCAATAATGAGGACTGGCTAAGACAAAGATAACTAGTAAACATCATTTCAAAATAATTATAAATTTATTAGCTATTTATAGAATCAAATATTAAACAGATATCTGAGGATGAACTTTTAAAAAGATATGATGAAAAATACTTGGGGAGATGGATTCCAGAAATCACTTAGGAAAAATCCAGCTTCAAATATTAATAGTTTCTTCATCAAATAGATAAAGAATATTTTCTCCTTTCAGACTAATTTCTCCTAAATGAGAATTTTTTAGAGATTAAAAAGAAGCAAGAAAGTTTACCTTTGTCCCTATGAGTAAATAATAAACAGAAGGTAGACACTAAATCAGGATTACAACTCAGTAGGGTATGTATTTTAAGTTTCTAACATAACATCGATCTGCTGAAATTATAAAATCACCAAAACAACTTGCATTTGGTTTTTAAAAACCGAAACAGTTATTAAATAATCCAAACTGCATCTAGCTATCTTCCTTATTATTAACATAATTCTATACAAATATTTGCTCTCCATGAAAACTATCAAGTATATACAGTCAAGTGTTTGTGGCTTTCAGGATAATGGCTGTAACCACAGATGTGCACAGCACACATTTCTTTCCAAAATCTGTAGAACTAGAAACAGCTTCAACTTTCTCAATTACTTTAAAAGTACCTGCTTGACTAACTTTATTTGTAACTAAATAGTTGACAGCATCAAAATGAATACTATGTCACTATAATCAACTGACAGTGATGATCTAAACCAGCAAAAGCCCTTTGGAAAACAATTTACTTTCAATGGGATATAAATAATAAAATTATGTGTGTGTGTGTGTGTGTGTGTGTGTGTGTGTGTGTGTGTGTGTGTACATATACCTTTGACCCAATCATCCTTCAACAGAAAGAAAACAATCATTAGGCATCAACCAAAACAATTAAAAACTAGAAATAAAAGAGGAATGATTGGCAAAAAGTTCACTTCACCCAAAATGCTAAGTACAACATCCAGAATGTAAACAGGATTTGTTTACTATGAGTACTCATATGTAAAAAGATGCATGTGTGGAAAATGTCAAAGTACTAGACAAATTTTTGGTTTCTTCTTTTTTCTAACTTGTTAAAATGTCTTATTTATAGGGTTTTTTGCCCTTGTTTATTCTATTAAAAGAGAAAAATAAGCAGCTTTTATTACACACTTTTGTACAGGAAAAATTGTTTCACTAGTGACTCAAAACTGACCCAGTCATAAAAACGAAAAATAGGTGGTTTTTTTTTTAAGATTTTATTTTTAAGTAATCTCTACACCCAACATGGATCTCGAATTTACAACCCCAAGATCAAGAGTCACATGCTCTACCGACTGAGCCAACCAGGCACCCCATGAAAAGTAGATTGATTTTCCTTTTCAGAACTACCAAAAACAGTAAACTTACTTAGAAAGAATTCCTCGAAGTCAGTTTTCTCCACACAGCTAGTATACATGCGCAGGGCTGCAATCTTAATCTTCTAGACAAAAAAATAAAAATAAAACCAAACTCAAGATATGACCAAGTATGTTCCAGTGCTAGTAGATGTAGTCACAACATCTTATATTTGTTCAACCAGGAGGATGAGTCCAAACCTGTCTCTAGGCAAATTTAATAGCTAAACCAACACAGATTATTTCTTTCTTAAAGCTAACCATTCACAGACTTCACACAATTTTCACATTTTATGAGTTAGCATCAAAATGTCAAAAAGATTTTTCCAATATTTATTTATATGAAATCTCTCCTTTAATTCAAACTTACTTCATCACATTTGAGCCTCTAAATCACTGTTCAGCATCACTCACATTAACTCTTTATAATCTGAAACCCCTTATATTAAAAAATTACCCATTTTATGACCAAAATCAAACAAACAAACCAAAAACCCCCTCAATCCTTCAACCTTACTTCAGAAGCACTACTATCTATTCTATAAGTCTTTTTTACACCTTGGGGAAAGAGTCATTTTTTTCTATATTTTCCCTAGTTTTATAGTTTGCTGATTAAGAGAAGGCTGTGCTTACCACTAAGGGTTTTCAATGAATGCAAAATATAGTAAAAGGATCAAAATTTTACTACTTCCCAAAGCACTAAGAATTCTCTTAGAATCTTGATTTGAGTGGTGGTTTTAATTTATTCACTGTATACCTAAGATCTGTACATTTTACTATATGTACATTATGCCTCCATAAAAATAAATCTGAAAGTGAAAATTAAATTCTTTTAAGAGTTAAATTGTAGATCTGAAGACCAACTCAGTGCTAAAGTAAGGAAGTATTTCTAAGGACTTTCAAAATATTTCCTGAAGGATACAATTAAATAAATTAGTCCAACCACAAAAGTCTTACAACAGCTAATTTTTTCTTAAAATGATAGAGAATTACAAACTCAAATATGCAGACTAAAAAAATGCAGAAACTGAGAATGAAATAGCAACTGAAGAAAAAACAATCTAGAATTTAGTAAAGCTATGTTATTAAGGTTCAAATTCACCAAAAAATACTATAACCAACACTATATCATGCTCATTTCTCAAACACTCTAAGGTCAGAACAGCAGTGTCTCTACTGGGCAGAAGAACCCAGAATAAAGTAGAGAAGGATTATGTCTCTAATTGTAATTAAGATTTTTTCTTTGCTAATTTGAGGTCTGTCATGTTTTCAAGGCTTTCAGAGTAAAGCTCATATAGGGGAAAACAGAATAAACATGTAACAACTGAAAAACATATATCTACATGGGAATAAATCAGCATTCGAAGCCAATTTAAACAAAATCTATGGTAAGACACTAAAAAGAGCAAATTAAACCTAAAAGCAAGCAGAAAGAATGATATAATAAAGAACAGAGATCAATAAAATTAGAAACAGAAAAATAGCACAGAAAATCTAAGAACCCAAAGCCAGTTCATTAATAATATCAGTAAAATTGATAAAGTGTTGACAGAACTGATCAAGGAATAAAGAAAAAACAGAGAAGATAAAAATTACCAGAATCAGAGAAGTTATCACAACATATCCTAGAGATATTCATAAAATAATAAGGGACTATTATGAACACCTTTAGGACAACAGATACGATTATTAGAGAAAATGGACAAATTTCTTGGAAAAAAACACAAACTACCAAAACTCCCTAGAATAAATAACATGAATAGTCCTACTATCTACTAAAGAAATGGGATTTGCAACAACAAAAAAAAGCCTTCTCCAAAGAAAACTCCATGCTCAATGGCATCACTAAACAACACTCAATGTTTCTACCAAACATCTAAAGAAATGCTATGAAATCTACATAAACTCTTCCAGAAAACAAGAGGGAAGAACACTTCTTAGCTCTTTCTATAAGGCCAATATTACCCTGATATCAAAACCAAAGTCATTAGAAGAAAATAAAACTACAGAACCACAGCCTTCATGAATTTAGATGCAAAAATCCTTAACAAAATACTAACAAATCAAATTCAGCAATATTTTAAAAGGACAATAAATCACAACCAAATGGGATTTATTCCTGAAATGCAAAGCAGATTCAACATTCACAAATCAATCAGTGTAATTCACCATATCAGCAGGCTGAGAAAGAAGCCTGTTTAACTTCGTTAACATCTGCAGTTCTAGGAAGTATCTGACACAGAACACATTTTGGGGAGTACTGGTCCGTACCATGATCAAACTAATGACATCCTAGTATCGTTATCCTAATGCTTTGGCTTTGACCGCCCTACTTCTATCCTCAGGCAGGGAGTTAAGGACACCTGTTACCTCTTCACTTCAGTGAACAAATAGTTTATTGAGTACCTAACTCAGTACCTGATGTGGATTTGGACATCGGGAAGAAAGAAGCGAACAATGAAGTAAAAAACTCCAGCCTTCATGAAGCTTACAGCCTACCTCAATTATAGACACATTGATAATTTTTTTTTTTTTGGCCTGTAAACATAGGAAAAGACTCTCAACTTTATTAGTAACCAGAGGAATGCAAACTAAATAAAAAATACTATATCACACCATCTAATTGGTAAACATGAGACAGTCTGACAGTATCAAGTGTTGGAAATGATTCTGAACCTTTAAACCCTAACTGATAAACTGATAAAACATGTCATGAATATAATTTAATACAGTTAAAAATATTCATAGACTAGTACCCAGCAATTCCATCTCTCTCTCTCTCTGAAGAAACTCCCGCACAATTTAAAAGGTACTGTCATTATGAAAGAGCTAAAACAACTGTGTTTGGTAGAGGAATAGTTAAGCTATAGTTTAATTATACAATGTGAAGCTATTCAGCAGTTGAAATGAAAAAAAAAAATCAGATCTCCACTCAAAGACATAATGTTGACTAATAAAAACAGGTTGAAAAGTGAGATACTGCTTATATAGTTTTCATTAATACAATATATTATATATGTTGTTTATGGATAATATATGAGTGGTAAAAGATAAAAAATGTACAAGGGAATGACAAAAACCAACTTTAGAACAGTAATTATCTTGGTGGAGAAAGAGAAGAAAGGAGAAATGGGCTAGTTTACTTTCTGTAAAAGTTTATATGCAAATATGGCAAAAATTAATATTTGTCAAATGTGGGTACTGGTATATAAATGTCAACACATTTACAATTTTAAATAAAATTCCTAATGGCCTGTTTCTTGATTTTTTTTTCTAACTCCACAGTTTCCTCCAGATCCTCACATAGAGAAAGTCCTGTAGGTTCATTAATTATTCTACCTAAGAAAGGCAGATTTGCCACCAAGACCCAAATCTTCCCTGAAGAAGGCTTTCCCCCACAACATGTTCATGAAGAAAGCATCCATTACAAATAATGAAGACCTCACCAGACCAGCCAGTGTATTTATACACTGCTCATAATGTGGCAATCAGGAGCATTTTATAGTTCTCACTTTTCCTGCAGTGAAGCCAAGCCTTTATACTTGGGTGAGCCATTTTCCTGGACAAATGTCTAAAGCAAGTCCCCTAAGACCATCACAGAGGGACTGGAAATAACAACTTGGGGAAAGAATTTCTTCAAGGACTCATGCATTAATATAAGTTAAAGAGGTAGGTGCACTAAATTCCACCCAGTCAATACAAATTGTTCTGGTTCTCAGAAGACTTCATGTTTATTTCATTGTAACTCTGGAAGACTTCATCAGTGTCTCTGATGAAAACACAAGCACCTCAGGCAGCTTTAAGAAATGAAAATCAGCTCTCCCACTGACTACTGCATCTTGTGCCATCTTACAAGATGAAAAATGAATATAGTGAAAGGTCTGCACTAACAGCTCTGTGAGAGCTGAAGGGGCTTTGAAGTCATCTGAACCTTCTATTCTGTACTGGAATTCCTTCTACAGCATTCTTGATTCACAGTCAACCATCTGGGCCACTGTTCAAACAAGTCCAATGACCTCGGGAGGTTACCTATCCCCCTGAAGGACAGTTCTTGTTAGACTTTTGTTTTTATTGAATGTAAATCTGCTTCATGTAACATTCATGAAAAGTCCACTGCCCAGTGGAATACTTTACTTAGATTAAGTCTTTTCTTTTTTTTTTTTTTTTTTAAAAAATATTTAAGAAAAACCTTCTTTTTTTTTTTTTTCCGGGGGGATCCTCTTTACTTCACCCACTTCATTTACCACGCTTTCCATACCCCTTTCAAGAGGCTCTCTGCCCATTTCTTTTTTTTTTTTTTTTTAAAGATGTTCTCTATTTGACAGACAGAAATCACAAGTAGGCAGAGAGAAAGGAGGAAGCAGGCTCCCCGCCAAGCAGAGAGCCCGATGCAGGGCTCGCTCCCAGGACTCCAGGATCATGACCCGAGCCGAAGGCAGAGGCCCCAACCCACTGAGCCACCCAGGTGCCCACCACTGCCCACTTCTGAATGCATTTCAGTGTGTCAGTGTCCTTCAGAAGAGAAATCATTTCTTGGCTTTATGCTAATCTGGAAACTGCCTATTTGACATGCAATTGAACATGGGAAATGTCCTTGTCTTGCCTGATATTGCTACATAAAGATAATGGAAAAGACTGGTTATTTCAAGACAAACAGGTAAGGAAAAGCTACATTTAAATTCCTAAATATGAATCTAAAAGAAAAATTAAACTACATATGAAAATGTTACAGAAAAAAATGGGGGAGATGGTTGATACTGCTGATGTCAAGCACATATTTTACTCCCTAATGAAAGACATGTAAAAACACAAAACTTAAAGATCTTTCCAGTACAATCCAAGAGCCTGATCAGATATCTGAGTCAAATTTACCAAAAAGGGTTTACAATCGATATATCTTTCTTTCTTTCTATTTATTTACTTATTTAAAAGAGAGAGAAAGAGAGAGCAGGCAGCAGAGGGAGAGGAGACTCTCCACTGAGCAGGGAGCCCAATGCGGGACTCAATCCCAGGACCCCTAGATCATGACCCAAGCCAAAGGCAAACACTTAACCAACTGAACCACCCAGGCACCCAGGGCTTGCAGTCTTTCCAAATGTAAAGTTATACCTATCTTTCCCACCGAAATTATACTAGAATGTCATGTTTGATGTTTTGATGTCAGAAATTTAAAAATAAAGGTTACGAAAGTAGACACTGCACATCATAAAGCCTTTTAAAATGCAAATATTAAGTACTTAGTTGAAGTCGCAAAGGAACCAAGAAAAATCAAAGGCTAACTTAAACTATAACAGTGAAGAAATTTTCCTGATGATTTAGTAATCCTCCAAATGGTAGCCAACTTTCCCTCTGGAATCATAAAAAAACAGACTAGACAAAGCAATGGTAGCAACAAAGTGGAACTCAACCATCAAGAAATGAATAAAACAGTAAATTTTTCCCTTTTTTTTCTTTCTGCTCTCATTTCTCTTTTCTCTTAATTTCTAATTTTCAAAACAAAACACATATTTTAAGTTTTAAATGCCATAATCACAAACCTTCTTCTCATAAGAAAAAGGATTCTTGTTAAAAACATTACCAAATATATCAATGATTATCATTTGCCAAAAGATTAAGATGTAAAAAAGATAACTTTGATGAATATAACTAATATTTCACTGACAATTAAGAAGACACTTCATAATCTTAGAGTCTCAAGAACATCATTACCTGTGTATGTGTTACCTTCTATACTTTCTAAAGCCCCTTAAAAACAAAATATTTGTGGAATCACCATTAGGTTTTCAGAATTTATGTAAAAAAGAGATTATAGAGAGAAGCCTACACTTGCTGCAGTGAGAATTGTTAAGAAGAGAACCAGACATTGCAAAAAGAAACTACAAGTAAAGTCTGTAACAAAACTGAAATTCTAACTTTAATCCATCCTGTTAAAATGGTGTAATTGGAATTATTTGATCATTTGCAGCAAAGCTACGAAGTTTTCTAGAAAAGTCCTCCCTAGACTGCTTTGTGTTGACTTGTTTTGATGGCTATATAACGTATGACTGATTAGGCTTATCCAACATTCTAGCAACCTTGAAAAACATTAAAAGGCACTTCTGCTATAAAGTTAGAGAAACGCTAGCACCAGGAGACACATTGGGCTAATATTTTATTACTTTAATTGGTTAGAGGCACTTATAAAACCCAGGGGCAATACGCACCTGATGCACAGAAGACATTCATTCATTTATAGCAACAACTATAAAGCAAACAACATGCTAGGCCAAGACTTGACTAGGAATGACATAGCTAGCAAATCTCCCTCCATCGTAAGAACTGTAATATTATCTTAAAATTGATTAATTTAAAAATGATTATTAGTAAAATTTTAACAAAAGTCACTACAATGACCTAGTGAAAAATATCACTTATGAATATGGATTCATCAGAGAGTAATATTTCCTTAAGAATGCTATCCATCAGAACATTTTGCCCATCCACTTCCTTAGAACTCATTTGTATAGCATATCACATAGCAAGAGCCTGGAAAGCCCAGTTTTATTGGCTTAGCTTGTACTGAAATACTTTTAAGGAATCAGGTTAAGGGAACAGAGAGAATACTCCAGACCCACACGTTACATAGATCTGACTCGGAATGGGGCGGGGGGGGACACAACACATTCTGAAGCTCTCAAAATAATGCATGAATTTCACAAAAGCAAAGCAGAAGCTTTAAAAAAAAAAAAAAAAAATCTATAAGGAGCAGAAGGCATAAAGCCCAAAAAGAAAATGAGAAGAATTTTAAAAGAATTTACCCATTTACTGTATTTCAAAGGTCCTGTAAATCCCATAGCTTCTATTATCTTCGTGAAGGCACCGACCTTCTCCTCAACAGGCTGTGGGGAATCCTTGGTAGTAGAAAGCTATTTCATCAAAAAGAAAGGGACAAAATTAGTTGCAAAAAAAAATTTTTAAGATTTATTTATTTTGAGGGGCAGAGGAAGAAAAGTATTTTTTGTTGTTTTTTGTTTGTTTTGTTTTTGAGAGGGAGAGCATGAGCAGGGGGAGGGGCAGAGCAGAGGAAGAGGGAGAAGCAGACTCCCCACTGAGCAAGGAGCCCCATGCAGGGTTCAATCCCAGAACCCTGGAATCATGACCTGAGCCAAAGACAGATGCTTAACCAAGTGAGCCACCCAAGTGCCCCCAGAGGGAAAGTCTTAAGCAGACTCCTTGCTGAGCACTGATGTGGAGCTCTATCTCACCACACTGAGGATCACAACCTGAGCCAAAACCAAGAGTCAAACACTTAACAGACTGTACCACACAGGTGCCCCCCAAAATAATTATCCAAAAAAGAATGCTTTTGTTTCTTATTAGATATAGGAGGATTTTTTATTGCTTAGATTTTTTTTTTCACCTAGAATTTTTAATTCTTCTTTTTCTGGGCACCTTATCACTCAGTACAAACACATCTGGAACTCTAATAGGTGTCCTTCAAATTTCAGAGCCACCTCACTGACTATACGCCTATGGACCCATGTCTAGGAAATGACTGATGTGGGCTATGAGAATAAAACTTCTATGGAAAAGAGTACTTTTAAAAGGAAATCTTGGCCCTCATCTCCCAGAGAAGAATTCTGAGAAGCAGAATGCTCTGTTTTAAAATAACAGGAAAAGGAAAGAAGACTACTGTCTGAAAGCAGTCAAAAGTCATTCAGAATCATAACCAACCAAAGCAAGCAGTGAATAAATGTTCCTAAACTCGTATTTTTAGTATACCACATTTTATGAGTCTTGTAGTTTACAAATAAACTCCAAGAAAAACCTATTCTTTTTTTTTTTTTAAGATTTTATTTATTTATTTGACAGACAGAGATCACAAGTAGGCAGAGAGGCAGGCAGAGAGGTGGGTGGGGAGCAGGCTCCCCACTGAGCAGAGAGCTCAATGCGGGGCTCCATCCCAGGATCCAGGGATCATGACCCAAGCTGAAGGCAGAGGCTTTAATCCACTGAGCCACCCAGGCACCTCAGAAAAACCTATTCTAATACTAAGCTCTCCAAATGAAGGCAGGCTATAAGAAATTCTCCAAGTTAAATACTACTTTAAACAGATAACGTGGGGCGCCTGGGTGGCTCAGTTGGTTAAGCGACTGCCTTCGGCTTAGGTCATGATCCCGGAGTTCTGGGATCGAGTCCCGCATCAGGCTCCCTGCTTGGCAGGGAGTCTGCTTCTCCCTCTGACCACTTCCCTCTCATGCTCTCTTTCTCTCCCATTCTCTCTCTCTCTCAATAAAACAAATAACTAAAAAAAAATTTAAAAAAAATTAAAAAAAAAAATTAAACAGATAACGTATGTTTTAACATATAAAAATCTTTACTTTTAACATATGAAAAATCTGTAACAACTTTTTTCTCTAAAGTGTTTTCCAAGCAAGACAGTACAACAGAAGAAATACAGGACACAGGATCAAAAGCCTTAGGTTCAAATATTCAGTTGGTCTGTCACTTATCCTTGTGACCTTGGGCAGATCACTTCATTTCCATGAGACTCACCTTCTGTATTCAATAAAATTCCTTGCCTCATCCAGCTAACAATTTTGCTAAGGTTCAAATAAGAAAACCTGTGTGAAAGCAGTCTATAAATGTAGAAAATACTAATAATTCTCACCTTATTTGTGGTGTGATACTTCCTACTCCACTGAACATCTATCCCAGGAATCTGTTCTGATCCACCACATTCCAGGGACTGGCTCATCTGAGGCCACTGGGAGATTAAAAAAAAAAAAAAAAAAAAAAAATAGATGTAAGCAACAGAGAGCATTCACTTGGATCGTTACTCTGAGAAGAGCTGCTTCAAAGTAAAGATCATAGAATCCTTCCAACCTAGTTCCTGGTGATCTGATCACCAAAAGAATCCGAGATGGGCACCTAAAATTGTGTCTGGTATGCAGTAGGTACTCAATAAACATCTGCTGGATACCTGAACAAATAAAAGGATTTGGCCCTGGAAACCTGGAACTAAATAAATCTGGGGCAACTCTAGGAACTAGAATTGTAATAAAGACCTACCTAAACATTGGCAGCAGTGTGGTAGATGGGGGGAAAAAGACTCTTAACAGTCAATATATTATTTTTAAACAGATTTTTTTTAATTTATTTATTTGACAGAGAGATCACAAGTAGGCAGAGAGGCAGGCAGAGAGAGAGGAAGCAGGCTCCCCACGGAGCAGAGAGCCCGACGCAGGACTCAATCCCAAGAACCTGAGATCATGACCCGAGCCGAAGGCAGAGGCCCAACCCACCGAGCCACCCAGGCGGCCCTTAAGAGTCAATTTTAAGTTTAAAGCCTGCTTCTGGGGTGCCTGGGTGGCTCAGTTGGTTAAGCGACTGCCTTCGGCTCAGGTCATGATCCTGGAATCCCCGGATCGAGTCCCGCATCAGGCTGCCAGCTAGGTGGGGAGTCTGCTTCTCCCTCTGACCCTTTCCCTTCTCATGATCTCTCTCTCTCATTCTCTCTCTTTCAAATAAATAAATAAAATCTTTTTTAAAAATAAAAAATAAAGCCTGCTTCTGCCACGTATAAGCTAGGTGGCCATGAGCGACTTACTGAATCTCAGTTGTAGGGACGACTGAAGAAGATAACACATGTAAAGTACCTTTCACAAAATACTCAATAAATAGAAGCTTCCATCATTGTTGTTCAGATCAGAACTGCCTTCCTTTTATGTTCTCATTGCATTTGAATGCACTTGGGCAATAAAACAGCCACTATTTACAACTATCATATGCCAGGTACAATGCTAAGTGCCTTAACATATATTTAATATTTATTCTTTAATATTCACCATTAACGCTATTAGGTTGGAAATAAAATCAAGACCATTAAACACAGTTTTGAAAATAAATTCCCAAGGGGAAAAAACTTCATGTAAGAGAGCCTCAGTGTAGCATTATTCACAAGAGTGAAAACTTGGTGGGGGGAGAGGGGGAGTCCAATAAGATGGTTAATTAAATTACAGTAAAGTCACTCAATAGAAAAATCAGGTAATCATTGAGATTTTTTAAATACACTTTATGTTCTAAAACAGTTTTAGGTTCACAGCAACACTGAGCAGAAGTACAGAGAACTCCCATAAACCCCTTCTTCATATACTCACATCCTCCACTATCAGCATCCCCCAGCAGAACAGGACATTTCTTATGACAGATGAACCTACCCTGACACATCACTATCACTCAAAGTCCAGAGTTTATATTAAAGCTCATTATTGCTAGCAACATGAAAACACTTACATGTATAAAATTATAGGTAGACATATGAATGTATATGGGCATCTCTAGAAAGAAACATACAGAAATTAAAGAGTTATTTTTTTAAGTTAATAGAATTATGGATGAATTTAGAAATAGTTTCCAAATTCTCAGTAATGTTTTATTACCTTTACCAAAAAAATGGTGAGGAAGCAGAAGGAGGGTTACCCCTTCAATTGTGGTTTATTCCAAGAAGAGAGGGAAAACATGAAATGAAATTGTTTTTTTCTTTAATGCTAATGAGGGAAAAACAGAATTTCTAATTGAGTTATTATTTACTTTTCTTTTCAAATAAGGATATTAAAAAATTAGGATTTTCCCGGTCAGTCCCAAGGACACTTATGCTTTAATTCATAGGTATTATGCAGGCTTTAAAAAACAGATCAATCACAGAACACCTCCCATTACATTACATACACCAATATAATGGTTTATCTAGAACACAAAGCACTCAAACAGGTTCAAAAAACAACTGACAACAATTTCAACTAGCTGTGCTTTGGGGCAAATTCTCTTTAACTAGATTACATGATCCTTCTCTTCTCCCATAGCTCCAGGACTAACCAATGGATTCCTGTGTGACTGTCTCACCAACTCCTCTATTTCTGTTCTAACCATTATTCATGAGCTAACATTTAACACTACTTGAACTACTTAAGTACCTAAGTATTAGTACCAAGAACAACACCTAGTTTCCGCATACCTACACATAGTTATAAATACACACATTTACTATTTGTTGTTCTTGCCCCCCAAAAAAGACTCCCTTGACCTTTAAAGACATCAATTTTTCCTTTCTTTAATCTGAAAAAATACCAATAAACAACTTCTTGTTAAAAAAAAAAAAATACCCTGAAATACTCAAATGTCACTTTTTCAAAGAGGACTTCTCTGACCATTTTATCTAAAATAGTTTCTTATAATCCCATTATTCTCTATTCTAGCAGTAGCCTGTTCATTTCATTCATAGTACTCATTATAATGTACAAGTATGTACTTCTGGAACCTGCTTACTTCCTATCACCACTACGGGAAAGATCCATGAGGGTAGAAACTAGGCATATTACCTGAATGAAATATAGTGTGTTGGATATGGGAAACACTCAAATATTTGTTGAATGAGCAAACCCAACCATTTACATGGTTATTTATTATTTCCTTCTTGTCTTTATCTATGCCATGTATACATTCTTCATTCACCCAACCTTAATTAAATGCCCACAATATGCTAGTCTTTGTGTGAGGTTTTAGGATACAAACAATCCCTATCCTCAAGCAGCTCATAGTCTTATGGAGAACAGAAAGACTCACTACACAAGAAACAGAACCTGTTCCAGACAACTCCAATGATAAACTCTTAGGCAGGCAGTCCTTCATTAAAATAAATGTAAGATTTGACCTTTTTTTTTTTTTCCCCCCTTTCAGGAAGGTTCTGAAAGTAAAGAGACCTTCCTGACCTGAAAGAGGGAGGAAGGAAGGAAGGAAGGAAGGGACGGTCTGAGAGACGGAAGAGAAGGGGGGGAAAAAAAGGAAAGGAAGGAAGGACTCCAGCAATTCTGGACTACCATGGTATGCGTAACTGGTCCCTTTAGCAAAACTGTAAGCTCTACCAGCGAACAGTCCATCTTATACTGTCCCATTGCTCAATATCATTCTGGGCATGGAGTCGGCACTCAATTAAACTTAGGTCGATTTTTTTTTTTAATGGCTTTTTTGTTATTGGGTTTTTCTGTGTCTTTTTTTTTTTTTTTTTTTTTTTAAATAGAAGGACGATCTGGAGAAGATCCAGAAAAGAACCACAGGAATGATCAAAGAGATGAATAAAAGGTCCTAGTGGAAAGGTTAAAATGAATTGAGGTTGTTTAGCTTGGAGAAAAAGCAACTGAAGAACTAAGGAGTAACTCAGAATAACAACACTTGAGCTGGAAGAAATCTCAAAGATCTAAGTCCAACCTTTTCATTTCGCAGATGAGGAAACTAAGACCCAGGGAAAGCTTGCAACTTGAGGTAGTTTAGGACAATTTTTTTTTTTAAGTTTCAATTTACATAGTGAGGATAAAATTTACGCAAGTAGCATCAACATACATATAGCAACAAAAACAGCAATTACAATTTATTGAAGATCTCCTATATGCCTCACACCTATATACTTGATGTTTTACTCAAAGTATCTCACAACTTTGCAAAGCTGATAAGATCTTCTCCCACTTTAGAAATGAGGACAATAAGGTCCAAAGAAGAAAAATTCATTAAAGGATTAGACACATATTCAGAGCTATCTTCCTTCCCCTATATCAAGCTGCTTCCAAAAACCCAAGTAGAGGTCAATGACACATACTCTGTGCACTAAGCACAAATCTCTGAGTTTCCAAACATTCCAAATACTATTCTCCAGTTAAAGGAACCAGGGCTCCTTAAAGAAATTGCTGAATCTAGGGCTAAAGCAAAGAAAATACAACATGAACTTGAAACATCTTGTGCTAGGAAATAAAGAATATTCAAAAATTATGAAAGCTCATAGAAAAGAACTTGAAGGAGTTCCTAAGAGCCAAATCTGGGACAATTTGATAAATAAAAATAATAATAAGCAAGACAAATTACAACTCATAGAGGGAAATAAACATCCATGAGCTCATACTGATATAAATAATTGAATAAATAAATGGAGAAGTAACAGCTCTTCCTTAAACAGTAGAATTCCAAACAATAAATATAGTAATCATGATGGAAACAGAAAATCACCATTATACAAACATCACAGGAACGATTACTGCAGTCAAGAACCATAAACAGAATTACCACATAATGCAGTAATCTCACTTCTGGGTATACATCCCAAAGAATTCAAAGCAGGACCCTGAAGAGATATTTACATGCTACATCAGTGCAGCATTAGTCACAATAGCCAAGATGTGGAAGCAACCCAAATGTCCCATCAAACTGGATAAAGCAAATGTGGTATATACATATAATGGAAAATTATGCAACCTTAAAAAAGTGAAATCCTGTCACATGCTGCAACATGGATGAACCTTAAGAACATTATACTAAGCGGGGCGCCTAGGTGGCTCAGTGGGTTGGGCCTCTGCCTTCGGCTCAGATTGTGATCCCAGGGTCCTGGGATCGAGCCCCACATTGGGCTCTCTGCTCAGTGGGGAGTCTGCTTCCCCTGCTCTCTCTGCCTGCCTCTCTGCCTACTTGTGATCTCTCTCTGTCAAATAAATAAAAAAAATAAAATAAAACCTTAAAAAAGAACATTATACTAAGCAACATTAAGTCACAAAAGGACAAATATTATATGATTCCACTTATATGTATATCCAAAATAGTCTAAATCATAGAAACAGAAAGTACAAATGTGGTTGCCAAGGGTGGGGTGGGATGAATTAGTGTTTAATGGGTATAGAATTACAGTTTAGCAAGATGAAAAAGTTCTAGAGATCCATCATACAACAATGTGAATATACTTTACACTACTAAACTATATCTTTAAAAATGGTTAACATAGTAAATTTAATGCTATGTTTTTTGAACCACAACTTTTAAAATAATTAATTAATTGATATTATATATCTTAAAAAAAGAAACACTGATGGATGTTAAAAGTAGTGAACAGAAGTATGCTGAGAAACAGGGTATCTGCATAGCCTCTAAGTATCTTCTCACAAGGTACTTATTAATTATAAAGGGGAAAATAGTAACTTCATAGTAGGGAAACCTGACAGACACCAATTTAATAATCAAGTGATCAAAGTTAGCATCACCAGTAACAAGACATATTGGCATCATATATCCCCTGTAATCATGCATGGAGAAGGGAACATAACTTTTGCCAAAAATGTATAACCTAATTACAAGAAAAAATTAGACAAACTGAAATTGAAGAACCAAAGAAAGGACATTAGTGGAAAAAAGACTGATAAAAGTTACACAGATTAGTTGATAGTATAATATCAATGTTAATTTCCTAGTTTCAATAAGTGCACGATTGTCATAGGAGATATTAACATTAGAGAAAGCTAGGTGAAGGGTATATGAGAATACTATCTTTGCAACTTTTCTGTAAATTTATTTCAAATTTTAAAAAAGATTTTTTATTGTTTTTATTTTTTTTTAAGATTTATTTATTTACTGGGGAGAGAGAGAGAGCAGAGTGAGTGAGAACATGAGTGGGGGGCAGAGGCAGAGGGAGAAGAGAAGGAGGGAGCCCAACTCAGGGCTCAATCCAAGGACCCCAGGATAATAACCTGCACCAAAGGAAGACTCTTAACCTACACCCAGTCCCCCCTAAAAAAATGTTTTTAAAGTAGACTCATCAAAGCATGACAGGACTCCAAAATGTTATTTAAGAAAAACAAGGATAAGAATATAATGTCCCAGGGCGTCTGGGTGGCTCAGTTGGTTGGGCGACTGCCTTTGGCTCAGGTCATGATCCTGGAGTCCTGGGATCGAGTCCCGCATCGGGCTCCCTGCTCGGCGGGGAGTCTGCTTCTCCCTCTGACCTCTCTCCTCTCATGTTCTCTCTCTCTCTCTCAAATAAATAAATAAATAAAAATATTAAAAAAAAAAAAAAAAGAATATAATGTCCCTAGCTTTTTGAAAATAGTAACAGGATTATAGCATTGGACATTACCTTAGAGATCATTTGATACTATCATTGAACCAATGAATTCTTTTATGTCATGCTCTTAAAACATAGTCTTCTAACCATTGCCTGAATATTTCCAGTAACAGGGAACTTACTATGTCAAAATGCAGCCCACACATTCCATGACCCCACAATTCTAATTAACACAAAGTTCTTCTCCATTCTGAGCTAAATCTGTCTCCCTGTCAGACATGTACCTGAAGAAAACCAGATTTTTCCAACCAGGGGTCCTCAAAGTGGGAAAATGTGCCAATGAGGCACAACAAAATGTCCAGTTTATTTATACTGGCTGAAATTACCTCTTGTCAGCATGAGATAAACCACCCTAAGTTATTTCATGGATGATTGCTATAATGCTGTCTTGGAACCTAATACAGTACCTGGTACATACTAGGTACTCAAGAAATGTTTATTGATTCAAAGAATGAGACATAAGTCTGAGATTCACATGATGAGTACCCCCCCACCCATATACACACAAAAACAAATGACTTAGAACTCTATGATAAATTTCATTAAAATTTTCCAATGCACGAAGAGTAATAGAACATACCTCAACTCTGAAAAGAAATAGCTCCATGACTACATAAAGTAGAATGCCTCCTCTGTACAGACATATTCTTTATTCATTCAACATATATTTAGCGCCTACTCTGTGCCAAGGTGAGTAAGAAGCCCAGGAAGTACAGGCACAAACAAAATGTGTCCTCAGAAGGGAAAAGCTTACACACTAGTTAGAGGGAATTATACTATTTTAAATTGTTTTAGTATATTTACATAAATAAATTATATAACACAATTTTATAGCAAAAATATTTTTAATTCCGTCAAATATGAAGAAGTTAGTGGCTACAGAAGGAATTCACATAGACTGGTAAGAAAAATAAATTCCCATAGATAAATAGAGAAATGATACAAGCATATGATTTTTAAAAACTAGACTACAACTGGTAAACATAGAAAAATGTTTAGCTCTGACAGATAAACAAAGAAATACAAAGCAAAACAAGATAATATTTTCTACCCAGTTAGTTTAAATTTTTTTAAAACACCCAATTCAGAGGTGGTAATAATGAAAGACTAGCTATATATACATTGCTGATGGCACTATAAATTAAAACAACCTTATGGAGAGAGAAACAGCTCATACTCATCGACCCAGGGTACACCCTCCTAGTAACTTATATTTAATAAATAATTAAAAATTTTAAAAACTATATATCAAGAAAATGGTAACTATATTAAGCCTATAATGGAAAAAAAAATTGGAAGTGATTTTAATATCAAACACGGCCTAAGTAAATAGAATAACACGTAGCCATTAAAAAATTTAATTATGCAATCTACCTAACATGAATAATGTCTGCTCTAATAAGTGAAAGGGCACCAGAAAATAAAATTCTGTGGTTATTTGTTAAGGTATCTAAGGAAAAAATTAGCACACACACACACAAGGACTGGAAAAAAACCAGATGTTTTCAAGTTTGAGGTCATGGATGATTTTTATTTCCTTTATTACTAAATTATTTGTATAATTAACGAAAATCAGGAGAAAAAACTCTCAAGGAGGGTCTAAGTAATGAATCATGTGGTCAATGGTAAACTAAGGCCTCAAATAATTGTTCCTTGGAGTTTGTGTTCATGAAAAGAAAAGAGAAGAAAAGAAAAGAGAAGAAAAGAAAAGAAAAAAGAAAAGAAACATTTCTTACCCCAAATAAAAGTGGCACAATGTGGCTACAAAAAGAAAACTTAAGTTAACTCTGAGATGAATATCTGGAAACATTCCCAACAGTAAAAATCATCAGACTGTAGCATGGTATCCTAGGCTAAGTTCCACTGCTGGGGTATTTAGAAGCAACGCCCTAGACACCATACTGTAGGAATCAGTCCTGAGCTGGCACCACAGAGACCCAGAAGTGGTCTCATGAGGTTTTTCCATCACACAATTTGTTTGGCTAATCTATAAATATATGACATTTGCAAATAAACACTAGGGTTTTCATACCAAGCAAAGAAACAACAAACCTTACCTGGAAAGTACCAGACAGAGCCCTGCCCCACTGTCCCTGTGTAGAAGACACAGGTACCAATCGGCTGCATACTGGAACCCATGGGGAAACGTTAATCCGGTTCTTCTAGAGAGAGGAAAAAAATGTCAAGAATTTCATCCCACTCCATGTATAGAAGTTTAGAAATCCTTCCAGAACAGGGTACATGAAAAGAGAACTTCCGGGGTCCCAGTGACTCAATCAGTTAAGCCTCTGCCTTCAGCTCAGGTCATGATCTCGGGGTCCTGGAATCGAGCCCCATGCAGGCCTCCCTGCTCAGCAGGGAGTCTACGTCTCCCTCTCCCTCTGTCCCTCTCTCCATTCACGCTCTCTCCTTCTCTTCTTTCTCTCTCTAATGAATAAATACAAATCTCTAAAAAGAAAAAAGAAAAAAAAGAAAGAAAAGAGAACTTCCAAAATAGGATAAGACTAAAACTCCGCATGCTTATCTCTCTAAGGAAGATGTACCCCTACCTATTCCCGATCTATGAACCAAAACAACTCTAGTAATGGCTGACTCAAGCCAGGGTACATGGGTTCCCTCTCAGGAAAGTAACAAAATAAGCAGACTTCAGGCATTTCACAATTAGATTATCGTTTAAATAAGAGTTTACAATGCCTTTTCATAAACACTGACTTGTCTGATCTTCACAGAATCCCTTTATAGTAAGCAGTGTGGGATCACTATCTGCCTTCGGCTCAGGTCATGATCTCAGGTTCATGAGATCGAGCCCCACTTCAGGCTCCATGCTGAACATGGAACTTGCTTAAGATTCTCTCCCTCTCCCTCTGCCCCCCGCCCCCACTCATACACACACACATGTGCACACACTCTCTCTCCAAAAGATAAATAGTTACTATAATGATAAGGTTAAGATTTGAACCCAGGCAGCCCAACTCCAGAATCCATGCTCATTTATGGGATGAAAGGGTAAAGGGAGTATCTCCAAAGTCTCCCCTAACACTCTATAATCTAGTCTTGAAACAATAAAACACAGTATCGTACTGTGGAAAGAGCCATGTACTTGGACTCAAAAAGCACTGATTTGACTCTTGGCTTCACTGTTGAGCTACAAGTCTTTGTTGCCTCTTCTATAAAATAAAGAAAAAAATCCCTACTTCTCAGGACTTTAGAAAAATCAACAAATGTAACTTGCAGCATGTCCAAATAAATAGTAAGTTGAATGTGAATCTCCATTTCCTCATGAGTAGGCAGGAAGGGGTAAGATGTAGAAAAAGGTGTAGGAATTTTATTTTATTTTTTTTTAAAGATTTTATTTATTTATTTGACAGATAGAGATCACAGGTAGGCAGCGAGGCAGGCAGAGAGAGAGAGAGGAGGAAGCGGGTTCCCCGCTGAGCAGAGAGCCCGACGCGGGGCTCGATCCCAGGACCCTGGGATCATGACCTGAGCCGAAGGCAGAGGCTTTAACCCACTGAGCCACCCAGGCGCCCCAGGTGTAGGAATTTTAAACCTAGAGATGCTTTCTAAAGCGTCTCACAGTTTTAAAACTGTGTAACTATTTTTTTTTTAAGATTTTATTTACTTATTTGACAGACAGAGATCACAATTAGGCAGAGGGTCAGGCATAGAGAGAGGGGGAAGTAGGCTCCCCGACGAGCAGAGAGCCCGATGCAGGGCTCCATCCTAGGACCCTGAGATCATGACCCAAGCCAAAGGCAGAGGCTTAACCCACTGAGCCACCCAGGCGCCCCTGTGTAACTATTTTTAATAGACCACTCAGAACCCCTTATGTTTTAAATGAAAAGTAAAGCTTCAAATATTTTATTTCAGCTGAGATTTGATCTGCTGGGATAATATTTAAATAAGAAACAGTTACTGGCTTTTTGTTTACTAACACTGAATCATTTGCCAGAATCACTCAATGTTAGATGTTCCTTTCCTAAAAATGTAAATATGGGATAAACTTCTGCAGATTTAAGTCCAAAGAAGGGGAAGAAAAGTAAAGGGAAATTACAAGTTGGAACAATACAAACTTCTGAATGATTTTCTGAAGAATTTCATCGTATTTTTTCCCACGTCAACAAAACTTTTCTCTTTAATTTTGGTTCTACTTGGTTTTATGCCAATACTTTAAATCAGTTCTTATTAGAAGAAAGACGCGATCAGCTCTGTTCTTTCCTTCTCCAATCCTACAACAACAATTCTTGTCCAAACCCTTAATTGAAACTGAGGCACAGCAGAAAGGGTATATGAATTCCAAGATGGTTATTAAATAGCTGTGTGACTCTGAACTAGTTACTCAACATTCTGGACCTCTATTTTCCCTAATGTAAAGTGGGAATAATAAAAGCTACCCCACAGGAGTGTTCCAAGGATCATTTGTAAAAGCACCTCAAGAACTCTAAAACACACACAAAAGCATCATTTTAACAACTGTTACTGAATTATGTGCATAAGCTTCTCCTTCCATAGCAAACTGTCACGGCAACAAGAACCATTTTCTTAAAATACGGTTCTGAACCTGGTATTCCCTTTCTCAAAAGCTCGCAGTGCCTCCAAGGGCCCTTTTAGTCGAACTTGATTACCTGATCTTTACCAACTGGACCCCTGTAGACTCAACTTTATACTTATATACCCTGCCTTGTATTCTCCATTCAGCAGCTCCAAAACCTGACTCAGATTCCCTGGTTTGGGAATAAGTGCTCCTCCCCACACAACCTAATCCCCTTCTGGTCAGTTCCTCTAAGACTCTCTTCTTCCCTCTTACCCAACCCATGAGTTCATTAGCTTCAAGAAGTATCCCCAGATTCCAAGTACTGGTTCTACTGACTCTATTCGGTCCATTTTCCTCCGCACCTCTCCCAATTCTTCATTTATAAATATAAAACTGTGAAAGTACTTCTCTCCCACTTACAGATACTGACGTATCAGGCCTATAACAATTAGCAAACCTCAACTCCCAAGTTTAGGAAAACATTTGTAGCCATTTCCAATGGTTAAAATTACTGCTTTAACCTAGGATAATATATACACTACAACTAAATGTGAACCAGTTTTATTGTCTTTTTGCCTCATCAACGCTTCAAAAACCAAAATTTTAGACAGGTTCCACGTTTTTATTTCCTGTGAGTATTGAAAATTGCAGGTGATTTTACATTTGTATTTCAAAATACTTGGATAGACCAATTTTTCAACTACAATCAGTCCGCTGCTGACCAGCCTCTTGCTCCATGTGGTATTTAAGATACATAGTATTTTCCTCAGCTTACTCATGAGCTAGAAAAGGCTTTACAGGGCGTCCATTTTCCTATTCCCCATAGTTTTGTTTTGTAAAGTGCACACAAACACTTAGTAAATACTGAACCATCGCTCCTTCGGTAAATACAGGCTTAGGTTCCTACAAGCCTCTGGTCCCATTTCCATCAACCAATCAATATATAACCTTGTGTGCTTCTGCTTAAAGACATCTTATTTTATATATATGTATATGTAGTTGATTCATTAACATTGAACTCATAGCCAATAGTACTGTAACTCACTCCTGAACAAAACATATCCAACACATAAATTTTCTCTGTAAGGAACATCACGGTCTTTTTGCACTTAGCAATACCAGACAGCACTAGATGGCACTAACATTTGGCAGCTATATTAAACATGGAAATCACAGGGGCGCCTGGGTGGCTCAGTCATTAGGCGTCTGCCTTCAGCTTGGGTCGTGATCCCAAGGTCCTGGGATTGAGCCCCGCATTGGGCTCCCTGCTTGGCCGGGAGCCTGCTTCTCCCTCTCCCCCTCCCCTTGTTTATGTTCCCTTTCTCACTGTGTCTCTGTCAAATAAATAAAGAAAATATTAAAAAAAAAAAAAACAAAACAGGGAAATCACCAACAAAGCACAAAAATGCAAAAACACATGCCATTAAGTAAACTGGAAAAGGGTACTTGTTTACACTGTAAGAGCTAAAATAAGAAGTTAGAGTTATCTGTCTCAGCTAGGAACTTGCATGTTACAGCTCAAATTTCTAACTCCTCTGCACAAATCCATAAGTGACCGCAAAAGTACCATGAGTATTGATTTTGGGATAACAAATAAATTTTAGCAAGTATGATGAATTCAAAAATACAGAATCTGTGAATAATGAAGATTGACCACAGTCACCAAATCCACTCTAAAAATGTCCACTGGCTCCTGTACTCCCAATAGCATGGAAACTAATTCAATTCCATAATCTCAAAGATAAACACTACCTGAGCAAACTGACCTACAAGTTACAAAGCGGCATGTTATAAAAGGGTATTTACTCAGACAGAAGGAGCAGAGAATGTCCATACTTACTGAATACTCTGTTTCCTCCCACTTTGTTGGGGGTGTCCAATCTTAGATTTAAAAGATTAAGTCCAGGAAAGATTTGAGCATATCAGTAAATGTACTAAGATTGAGCAAATAATTAACATATATTAATTATTATATATATTAAGGGTATCTATTAGAGAAAGGAGTTAACAAATATGAAAAGGCGAAGGGTACAATAAACCCTGTGGTACTAGGATGGCTTTAGAGTAATTAGCATGGGTTTTTGTTATGTATAGATATAGAAACAGATGTGTGTTTATGTATATATATGCACTTCATACACTTCTTATCCTTGTCTTAATAGGTCCTAGAAGGCTACATCTAGCATCCAGGTTTGGCTTCTAAATAGCAATATTCACTAAAAAGAACTAGTCTTCTCTGGAGAAAAGTTGACTTCTGAATGGGGTTGATGCTCCTTAAAGCCTTTTTTTTTTTTTTTTTAAGATTTTATTTATTTATTTGACACACAGAGAGAGAAATTACAAGTAGGCAGAGAGGCAGGCAGATAGAGAGGGGGAAGCAGGCTCTCAGCTGAGCAAAGAACTCGATGCGGAACTCGATCTCAGAACGCTGAGATCACGACCTGAGCTGAAGGCAAAGGCTTAACCCACTAAGCCACCCACGTGCCCTCCTTAAAGCCTTATTTGCAAAGCACTAGCATTATTTGATCTGTTAGTAGTTCTTTTAAGACTTCATTTGCAAGGGTGCCCTGGAACTCTTCCTATATGAAAACGTTTCCCCAGGAGTATTGGTTGAAAACAAATAGAGGC